TCATATGAATACTGTCTTACTTGACTCTCTGAAACGAATTTCTTTGTGAGCTCTGCTTGTCTTTGCTGACGTTCCAATTTTCTCTTTAGTAAAACAGAAGTAGCGATATCGATTCCACTTATAGCCATTTTACGAGGTCCACTCTGATCCAAGAGAAAATTATGCTCTCTGCTAGGAATTTTCTTTGCACAAGAGCAGTGAAAAATAGCTCTAGGATTATCAAAATTGCATTTACAGGATGCTACATCGAAAAGCATCGAACAGTGGTCCTGAAACGCTGAAACCTTTTTGGCATATGAGTCACTTTGCCTTTGTGAGTTGGAGTAAGCTTTAATTTAGTGTATTTTCAGTGAAATTCCGTCATTCGTTCTCTAATTCGTAGGGTTGTAATGGTTCGTAGCTGTTTTCCAAATGTGGATGAGCTCCTCTGCTACCTCCTGAGCAAGATCATTGATGCTTGGCTCCTTTTCTCCCTTTTTAAGCTTAGAGAATCTTTTCAGCCGAATTACTTGCAGCACATCTCCATATGTGGCAAGACACGCTCCGGCAATTCAGAAGGAGTACCGATGATTTGACAATGTGTGTCATGCCTTGTCTGAGGTTTCTTGGTTTTCGAGCCTTTTTCTGCCATAATGAATAATGAAACTCTTTGACAACAAGAAATATCCTGGACACCTTTCTTTTTTATAACGGTGGGGAAATTCTCATGAATACCCTCGTCCCTTGGGGGAGGCGCAACAGGTTCCTGTTGCGGCCGGTGGCTAATAAACGAGAAGCCCATTTGGGTAGAGGACGATCGAGAGCACAACACCAACGTACACGCGGCGAGCTCGCCAACCTGGGCCCCCCTGGGTCCGCATAAGGCCGGCCAGAGCCTGGCCTGCCCTGCGAACCCGGCGGGCCAGCTGCCTGAAGTGCGGCCCAAATCCCCATCGGCCGTCCAGCGTCGGACCCAGATATTTAATCGTGGGTCCGACGCGGATACAGACACCATCCACCAGGACTCGGATACGCGGCGGCCCCTCCCGACCCTTACCATGAAAGTACATAGCCTGGGTCTTTTGGGAGACCACCTTGAGCCCCAGGTCCACGATGGTGTCCACCACGGACTCCAGAGATGCCTCTGCTCAGAGGCGAGTTTCCCCCCCAGCCCCCCCGGCTACCACTAACGTGTCATCTGCGTAGCAGATGACGTGGCAGCCAGGGAGAAGGGGAGAGCGCAGCACCCGGTCGAACGTGATGTCCCATAGCAGGGGGCCGAGTACCGACCCCTGCGGTACACCGTGCTCCATGGTGCGCCGGCCTTGGACCCCGCCTCTTCCCGAGTAGGCGAGGTCCATGCCCCCGAAGTAGGTCGACAGGATGCGCCGAAGATAGACGGGGGTTCGTCCAATCTCAAGGGTGTCACTGACGAGCTACGCCCCTGACCTCCTCGAGGATCCCCCTGATGTGGGCGAGTTCGCCCAGACCAACCCTGTTCCTGCGGTGGGAAAGATACACCTCCACCACAGTGATGGGTCCCCAATCAACTGCCACGTAGGAGTCCCCTTTTCACCTGAATTTATAGCGGGGACTCCTTCACGGGACTGGCCACTATAGCTACAGAGCCGTATCGGCTTTCGAACCGGCTAACGCTGTTGATCGGAATCCAGTGCGGCTCCGTTGCCGACCCCAGCCCGGCGCCCAGTTCGTTGATCCTGTTCGCCCACAGGTCCTGAGCTCGGGCGCCGCGGCCGAGATTGGCCTGTAAGACCCGGAGCGACGTGAAGGCTAGGCCGTTCACGCTTCCTCCGGGCTTCCTCCTTTTTTTTGTTCACGCAGGGGAAATCCATCATGGATATCCCCGCCCCCTTGAGGGGGGGGCTGGGGGTTATGTCGGACTTTTACCGACTAAAACCCCTGCGGGATGTCTACCTGTCGGATCGTGAGGAGGGGAGTTAGGGGAACTGCTCCCGCATTCCCTCCCGAACCCCCCGGCACCAGGGCTCTAAACTAAGAGCCCCTCGCCTTCTTGTACCGCACCCCCCTTCCCCTTTCAGGGAATTAGTGGGAGGGTCGCAGTCCCCGGCGGATAACCTCGCCGTTGGCCTTCTGGTGTCTCCTAGGAGGAAGGAGACATCCACCATTCCTCCTTACCCCTTCCCCTCCTGAAAGGCTCAGGGAGATGGGGGAATTGGGGAGGTAGGCCCGACCCCAATCGGGTTATCCACCTCTCCTTTTCCCTCCTATCCGATCACTCGGGGGAGTGGGAGCTATTCTCCTCGCTGCCCCCCGAGTGACGGAGCCTGGCCCAAGGTCGCCGAGGGAGGCGCCGGCCCGTGTAGGCCAGCGGTCTCTCCTCGTCCGATGCCATCTCGGGCTCGCTGTTGATTCCTCCCCCGGGGAGCGCCGGCCCCGCCGTCTTCCGCGACGACGTTTGCCAGGCCGGCGCCTCCATTCGGCGGCCTCCTTCTGGGAGATTACCTCCCTGCAGAAGGAGGCCGCTATGTCCCACGCTCTCTCGCTCCTGCACATAGCTCGCACTAGGTGCGGGAGCGAGAGCTCCCCGTCTCGGCAAACTACCGCCCCGAGCAGGACACGGCGCTGCTCGTCCCATGCTGCGCAGGCAGCCAGGGTGTGCAGCGCCGTGTCCTCTTGCTCGTGGCAGTGGTGGCACCGAGTGGTGGGCTCCTTCCTTATCCGTTGCAGGTATCTCCCGAAGCAACCATGCCCGGTCAATACCTGCACCAGGTGGAAGGACATTCGACGCCCCTTCCTGTCTGCCACTTCGGACAGACAGGGGCGGACAGCCTCGGCCGTTGCGAGACCGAACCCTCGGGGGTCGGCTAGCACCCCTTCCCACCGTTCCAGGGTCCGGTCTTTGGCCTAGGTCATAAGGGCTTTCAGGCCCCTGACTGTCAGCTCTCCCCCCTCGCGGAGCTCCTTTACCCGCCAGTAGAGGACACGCCTCTCCTCGGCTAGGAGCTCCACAGGGGGGAGCCAGCCAATGTGGTCGCCGCCATGTATGACACTGTGCGGAACCCTCGAATCGCCCTGATCATGAGAGATCTGAGAGCCTGCCTCATGAGCCGCCTAATCACTGCAGTGGCCAGCAGCTGGGGCGCCCAGATGGGCGCCCCGTACAGGGCGATCGAGAGAACCGCACCGACATACAGGCGGCGAGCCTGCCATCCTGGACCCCCTTGGGCGCGCATCAGCCTGGCTACAGCCAGTCCGGCTTTGCGCACCCTGGGGGTCAGCTGCCTGAAGTGAGGCCCAAATGACCATCGGCTGTCCAACGTCAGGCCGAGATATTTCATCGTCGGCCCGACGCGGACGTGGAAGCCATCGACTAGGACCCGGGTCTCCGGCGGCGCTCCCCGACGCCGGCCGTGAAAGAACACAGCCTGAGTCTTCTGGGGCGCCACCTTGAGACCCAGGTCTCCGATGGTTCCCACCACTGATGCCACTGCCACCTCCGCACGGAAGCGGGCTTCCCCCCAATTCTCCCCATCGGCCACCACTAACGTGTCGTCTGCGTAGCAGACGACGTGGCAGTCGTCGGGGAGCGGAGTGCGAAGAACTCGGTCGAAGCCGATGTCCCACAGCAGAGGGCCGAGCACTGATCCCTGCGGAACACCGCGCTCCATAGTGCGTCAGCCTTGAACCCCGCCTTCTTTCGTGAAGGCGAGGTCTCTGTCCCCGAAGTAGGCGGACATCATCCGCCGGAGATAGGCGGGCGCTCCGAAGTGCCCGTTCTATCTCCGGCCAGGGCAGGGTGTTGAAGGCGTTAGATATTCCTAATGACACCGCCAACAACACCCCGCCCCTTATCTTCACGACCGCCCAGGTCAAGTCCCGGACCCACTGGATTGCATCCAGCGTTGATCGTCCGGGCCTGAACCCGTACTGGCAGTCGTGGAGGTCCAGCCCACTCGAGGACATGTGCTGGACGAGGCGGTCAGCGATGATGCGCTCCAGCATCTTGCCCGCCTCGTCCAGCAGGCAAATCGGCCTGTAGGCTGACGCACTACCGGGCTCCTTACCCTCCTTCGGGAGGAGGGCCAATTTGGCCCTCCTCCACTCTGGGGGGAAGACCCCCTCCCTGAGGCATCCTGTCATGACCCTGCATGTGGCTGTGGACAGGTCCGCTTCGGCCAACGCGAGAGCCCAGGCGCGGCCCGGAATCGCATCGGGCCAGGGGCTTTGCCCTTACCGCCGAGCTTTCTCCGGGCCTGGGCGAGCTCCTCTGGAGTGACCTCCAGGCCCTCGTTCCAGTCTCCCTCCCCCATTTCTAGGGAAGGGATCATGGGAGGGCCCCCTTCCGCCCTCGCAAAAAGGGCGTCCAGGAGCCCATCGAGGGCCTGGGGATCCAACATCTCCGTTTGCGGAGGCGCCCAAGGACGGATCTTTCCCATCGTCCTTTTGTATGGGCGCCCCCACTGATCGTCATCCAGGAAGCTCACCAATTGCTCCCAGGCTTCCCGCTTGGCCCTTTTAATGGCTCTCTTAAGGACTACCCTGGCGGCAAGGTAGTCCTCTTTTGCCCTTGTGGCATCCCCGTCTCGTCGCCGGTCCCGCGTATACGCCCTTCTGGCGCGGCCAGAGTCACTGCGAAGTCTCGCTATTTCCTTTGACCACCAATACGCGGCCCGACGCCGACGGCGGTGGGAACAGGGCATCGCGGCGTTGCATGCCGACGGCAATATCCCCATTATCTCCCCGGCCCTTTCCAAGGGGCCAGGGTCCCACTCACCTGGCTTTATGTGTTAGGTGGCCACAAGGACAGCAGCCCTGAACCTGTCCACGTCTAGTCGACCGAGGGTCCATCTTTTGGGGAGAGGAAAGTTCTTCTCCCCAGGGCGGCGGCCCGACACCTGTTTTGGTTTAGGGAGGTGGAGGGCCCAGACTATATATCTATAGTCAGATAATGCCTCGCCCTCCACCTCCACCCTCCATTTGGAGAACATTCTAGCGGCCGAGAGGAAGGCCCATGTCAAATCAATGACCGATGACCCCCCTCACGGCCTTATACAGGTGCTGGTGGACCCTCTGTTTAACAACAGAAGGCCCAATCTCGCCGCCCAGCCGATGACGACCTCGTCCCTGGGATCCCGTTGTCGGGGACTACAACCCCACTCCTCAGAGTGGGCGTTAAAGTCCCCGGCAATCACGACAGGTCGGGGATGGCACTTGCGCACCAAATCCCCGTCCTGTCTAGGATCCCTTTAATGCGGGCGGGGTCGCCAAGTCCGGCTTTGTTTCTGTGGTTGGGGAGATATACCCCCACTACAGTTATAGGCCCCTAGTCAACCGCCACGTACAAGGACCTCTTTTCCCTTAAAACACAGGGAGGGGTCTCCGCTGCAGGGTCAGCCACCATGGCCACCGAGCCGTCCGGGCTGCCGAACCAGCATTCACTGCTGATCGACACCCAGTTCGGCTCGGTGGCCACCCCCAGCCCGGCGTCCAATTCCCGGATCCTGTGTACCCACAAGTCCTGGGCCCGGGCGCCGCGGCCAAGGTTAGCCTGTAGCACCCGGAGTAGCGTGAAGGCTAGACCTTGCACGCCTCCTCCGGGCTGTCTACCTTTACCTCCTCTTGGGAGACCCCTTGCGGCTGGACCGCCTCAGTCTCCCCAGAGGGGGCTTCGGCCTTGGTGGCTATGACTTCCTGTGCCTCCTCGTGTGCGGAGGGTGATTGCCTTTCGGGAGTCCCTGCCTGGACCACTCCTTCCTCCGAGGGGTATGAGGGAGAATCGTCTACAACCACAAGGGGAGACAGGGGTGGATCACTCACTGTCTCCCCTTCTACTAGGGTAGTTGGGGGATAGTCCGCAGACTGCACCTGCCTTACCTTGGCCATCTGGTCCTCCTCGGAAGATCCGCTGGTCCCATCCTTCCTGTTTGTATCCTTCCGCTCATCCCCTCGCCTTTTCCTTTGGGCCTGCGGCACGATCTCCATCGGGACAGGTGTCGAGGTCCTCTCCGGAAGTCCCCACGACACTAGGGAGGAGTCCCTCTCCTCCTGTTCTCCTCCCGGAGCATCCTCCTGTTCCCTCGTAGCAGAGGGGGCCGGACTGGCCTCCTCCATCAGCAGGGTTCGGTCCACGGGGTCCTCCAGAGGAGTTCGGGCCTCTCCTTCCTCAGCTCCCTCGACCACGGTCGGCAGCATTTCCTCTGCCTTACCCTTTCCTTGCTCTCCCTCCTTTTCGTTCCTCGCCTTAACCTCCCTCCTCTTTCTGGAGGAGGGAGGTTTGCAGGCAGGCCCTCCGATCTTGTGATCGGAGGGCCTGCCCGCCTCGGCGCAGACCGGGCAGCGAGCCGCCCCTTGGCACCCTTTGGCGCGGTGGCCGGGGTTACCGCAGCGATAGCACAGTCCGCTGCGGTCGGCGGCGCTATCGCACCGCTCGCACACATGCCCCGGTTCCAAGCACCGGTAACATAGCTTGGCGCGAGCGGGCAGCGCAACCACCTCGGCGCGAATCCATCCTATCAGGACTCGCTCCGCGGCGGCTACCTTCGCGGCAGCTGCCAACGGACACTACTACTACCGTACCAGTCCCCCACCGGGAGACGCTTACCTCGCCGCAGGAAATCTCCTCCGGTGCGCATCCCCCGGCGAGGGCCACCGCGGCCGCCACCTCGTCGGCCCCGGTTGTCGCATCGAGGCCGGTCAGTCGGAACGCTGCGATCTTAACCGGCCTACGAATGCGGAAATCGGGGCCTTTCTCCGCCGCCAGCTTACGGAGCACCTCCGCAAGCCGGTCGGCGGCTGCCCCCGAGCTGGGGCTAGGCACCTCTATCAGCATGGCCCCTGTTAGGGCCTGGCGGACCCTGAGGGATCCGTCGATGGCCCGCCGGGCTAATGAGGCGCCTGGCCTCCTGCATGAACTCCCTATAGGAGTCCTGGAGGCAGGTAACGGTGATGGCTGCCGAGTGGGGCGGATTCAGCCCCCCGCCGTGCCGACTTCTGGCCCCCCCTCCGGGTCCAACCTTTGGAGGTGGACGTGAATTTTTCTTCTTCTCCTTCTTCCTCCTCTTCTCCCTTCTTCCTACCACCTTTGCGCAGGATTCCTCGGTCTTGGCCTCCTGAGGCTGCGGTATCCTGGGAGGAGGAGTCTCCTCCGGTCTCTTCACCCGGGGGGTCCCAGGCACTCCCCTACTGGCAGCCTTCCTGCCTGCCACGGTGTTGGCTGGTCCTACCTTCTTGCCGGCTGTAGTGTTGGCTGTTCCCACTTTGGATCCTCTGCGATCCGGTGCCAAGGCCACAGCCGCTGCCACATCCGCTATTGCCTGTTGCTACTGCCACCGCTATTGCTTCTTCTTCCTTTCCCTCGTCATCTTCGTCTACTTCCGGCTGGCTTACGTCGACGGCGCCAGCGGTGGCCCCCTCTTCGCACCCCCATCCCCGCCTGGGCGGGCTTTGGCCCCCCAAGCCGGAGAAGTCGGGGCAGGGAGAGGGACATTCATTAGCGCCTGGGTGGGGGTTGCAGCCCCTGTCATTCTTGGCACCCGGAGCCTCGCCCTCGCATCGAGAAGTCGGTTGATCTCCCCAGAGATCCTCCTGAATTCCACCTCCGCATGCGAGGACAGCCCCAGGTTGGCCAGGGAATCATCCAGGGCTTTTTGCACCCCCTGGATGGGAGGCCTATACGCCGGAGGGGCCTCCTCCGGCAGGTTGTCGTCGTAACACGGCGCCCCGCCGGAGGAGTGGTCCCCCCTCCTGTCCTCTGACGAGCTGGAAGAATGTGGGAAAATTAATCTCCTCTTCCTTCTCCCCGTTACCCGTCTCCTCTTCCTTGTTCTTCCAGGCCTCATTGGTGGACCCTCCTCCGCTGATGTGCTGCGATCTGCAGCCTCGGCGTCAGTCCTCCTTCTGGGGGTTGTGGGGGCAGGAACAGGGACTGGGACTGGAGGACATGTTCTGGCTTCCCTGACCCGCAGCTCCTCCTCAAGCCGCCGATTCTCCACCCTCAGCGCCCTTAGCTTCTCCCTTGGGTCCCCTATTTTCCGTCTCGCCTCCGATATGGAGTCCCCGACTCTATCCTGAGCTGCGACTCTGGCAATCAGAGTCGACATAGCGGCCTCGGAGGTCGCGACGGCGCGCTTCAGCAGTGCCATGTAAGTCCCCTTAAGGGTTTTCGACCTGCGTACCACCAGCCGGACCGCGCCGAGTGCGCGTCCTACCTTCGAGGCCAGCTCTGCCGATCCAGCCTCCCTGAGAATTGCCCTGGATGTAGAGTCCCTATAGACCTCCCCGACAGGACGCTTATCCTCCAACAAGCGGAGAATTCCCCTGCCGAGGAAGTCATCTATCTTCCGATCCAGTCGTCTCTCTTCCTTCTCCTTCCTCTTCTTTCTTTTCTTCTCCTTGCGTTGGCGTATGCCAACGCCTAGACCCATGACGACCGATTTCCCTCGTGCCCTCTTTGTGGGCTGCAATACCGGCACCTTTTTTACCGAGCTGGAATTTCCATTGCCGCTCTCCTGCCTTCTTCTTTCGCCGGATGTTGCCTCCAGTGGAATCCTTGGGATCACCACCTTCAGTTCGGTACCTGCGGGCAGAAGAACGTCGGAGACCACCATCGGTTTCCCGGTGATGGCCCCCTTTTTACTATGAGCCTGTGCCCCTCCGCTTGTTCAAGAGCTTGGTCAGCCCGATTACTCCTCAGGGACTAAGCAGAAATGCTGTCCCCTGTCCCCGAGGATTCCGCTCCCGCGTTGAGCGGCCGCCTCTCTTCATCCCGGAGGCTCGCCTCCCCAACCTCCCGGTGGAGGCGGCGCTTCTGGCTGCTGGTCGCCAGAGTCTTTCCCACGTGGCGTGGCCGCTCTTCTTCCTCCCGAGAGCTCACGAAATCAGCCTCGCGGTCAAGGCGGTCTTTCCGATAAGTTACCGGGGAGGTCGGTGATAATACCCTTAATTGTGACCCCTCCACGTGGAGGTCCACCGAATCAACTCTCCGTGGAAGCGGAGACCAATCCTTCGCCGCGGGACACCTTATCTCCACCTTCTTACAAAAATCAGCCCGCGAGTGGCTGGTACCGGCGGACTCAGTGCCTTGCGGCACCTCGTCCGTATCCGGCGAACAAAAAGTAGCCGAAGCTGTGGGTGTTTTATTGTAGACTCATATTTTGTCCCACGAGGGCGGCGGGAAAGAGTCAGCCACTCCGAGCAGAGCCCCCGCATTTCCCGGGGCTAGGCTAGTGTGTCCACATGGTGCGCCAGGTTCGCATGGGTGAGGGTCTACTTGCGACAGGTCTCGCACCTGCCATTCATCCCCTAGGCATGGAAGTCCTCACCGTAGGATTACGTGATCATTTAGAGGTCCCGCCTCGCGGTCCGGCTAGTTAAGGCAAGACTCTCGGCCCTAGAGACATGACCTAGGGTTACGATGTGGTAGGCTTTTTTTCAATCACGCAGGGGAAATCCATTATGGATACCCCCGACCCTTGGGGGGTCGGGGGTTATGCTGGACTCCTACCGGCTAAAACCCCTGCGGGATGTCTACCGTTCGGACCGGTGTGGGGGGAGTCAGGGGAACTACTCCCGTATTCCCTCCCCAACACCCTGGCCCCAGGGCTCATTCGGAGAGCCCCTCGCCTAATTACCGCGCCCCCTTCCCCAATGGGGAATTGGGGCGGGGGCGCGGTCCCTGACCGGTTGCCCGGCCGAGTTCGCCTTCTGGTTCCGGTTACGGGAGAGGGGAAACCCACCCTCTCTCCCTGCCCCCTCCCTACCTGAAGGTGGCGGGGGAGTGGGACCCGTCCTCAAACAGGTCACCACTCCCCCTGTCCTTACCTGTCTGTGGCACGGCGGGAAGTCAGATTACCCTTGACCAGAGCTGCCAGATTCGCTGCATTGCCACCAAGCCCGCTCACATGGAGGGGGAACGTATGCACGTGTTGAGCCGTGTCCGTGTGCGCTCGGCGTTCGGCAAGCTTCGGGTAGTAGAGAAGGAAAGCGCTATCTGCGCGATCTCTTTCTTTCCTATAGTATAGCTATAGCTATAATACACCGCTAGCTTCAAGATACGCGTTGACTCGCCGACGATATTTTCGCGCGGGCGAGAGAAAGAGTGAGAGAGAGAGCAATAATTTGAACAATCCATTCTTAGCCAACATGTACGTCTTCTTCGCAAAAGAATAATGTTATGTTACGGAAAAATAACTTATGTTAATTTAAGAGATAATTTATTATTAGCACAGAAGAAATATAAAAATAAATTATGTAATTTAGTTTTTAAATTATTTTAACACTGCAACGTGCTAAACAAATAAATATAATGAAATAGAGCAAAATAATTTTGCGATTATACGCATTAATCTAATGCACATTTATTTTGTAAATAATAACGTACATATTGTTGTTCAACGGAAACCGCGAGAAGGTGATGGTCTCTTCCGTCAATAAGAAAATGTAAATGTATGTATTCCATCAATGTAAATGAAAAAAATGTTTTCTCTATTATAACTATTTTATATATAGAATAATTTTGATATATATACACATATTAAAAAAGAACATACTTTTTTACATTTTCTAAGAATATAGATAGACAAAAGAATAAATAGAAAGGATAGACAAAATAAATACAAAAGGATAGACGTAAAATATGGAAAATTAATGAACAGAGAACAAAAGGCAGAGGACAGAATAAAGGATAGAGAAAAGAACGCTGTAAGCAAAATGCTAGCAGAATGCGCGCAGATTGACGCCAATTTCGATCAGATCTCCACATCAAAACCATAGCCATCTGTGTCCTCATTAGGCTCGTGTTTTGTCGACAGGACTTGTGTGACAGGCCGTGCGAACAGATTGTCGGCAGAAACCGCGCAGGTCCTGCTGCTAAACTACGCATATAATCTGCGCGCTGAGTTTGCTCGGTTTCTGCCAATTTTCCGTCAAATTACTGCAAGTCTTGCACGGTTTTTGCTACAAATCTGCCGTCAAATATCCGACAGCAGGATTTGGCGCATATTTGACCGCAGATTGGTGGCATAATTTGATATAACAGATTCTGCGTTAAATTTGTTGCCTATTTGCCATCAAACTATGATAGCAGGCTTTGTTCGAAATCTGCTCGCGCAGGTTTGGCTATCTGGGAACATAGAAAAAGAAAAAGACACTAGAAATTCCAAATCATTTTTTACCGTTCCGATTTTTTAATTAAT